GGAGGCAGAGCAGAGCACTCGGTGTTTGTTGCTGGGGGTGTTGCCTGCGACTGTTGAATTTCAACAACTAGAATTAGCTATTCCATGTGTTAGGTATTTTAGTAGATATTTGATGGGTTAGAATGGCAGGGCTGTTCCCAAAAAGGGGTGTGGATTGGAGGTTTTGAGGTTTCTCGTGGTTAAGTTGGACTGTGACAGTGCCAGGCCTCTCTCCCGTGGGGCAGCGGTGGCAGCATGAGGGCCCTTCACATGCCCCAGCCAGCTGTGATCCAGCTGTGCCCTATGCAGTGAGTGGTAGAGATGATACCAACTGAAGTGACCTGCGTCCACCTCAAAGAGGATGTGGTATTGTAAGTCATGTGAAGTTCCTCAAGCTTACAGAGGTTAAATAATGAAGTGCACTTGACAGCAAGTTGTGCAGCACCAGTTTTGCAGTTGGGGATGAGTCTGTCACTGCTTGGGGAGTTCTGAGCATCTTTATTATGGAAAACAAAGAAAATAAAACTGACAAGCACAAAGAACTTGAACCATATTGATTAACAAAGTGACAAAATCTGCTTGTAGTCCCTCAAACTGTTTCTCACAAGGGCTGGAGTTCAAGGTGCCCATCCCTATATGCCAGCATTTTTCCCAGGCAGACTGTTCCCTGACAATATTTTCACTGGGTCTGACTTGCCCATAGGGGAGGGAGATGCAGGTGGATTTTGCATATTCCTTAACCAGCACTTCAGCAAAGAGTTGAATTCAAGGACTTCAAATAAGCAAAAAATCCCACCAAAGCCCTGTTCTGTAATTTGACTGTTTAAAAACTCAGGCATGTTTCTTTGCAGAGACCTGAACACAAAAGCTGTGTGTGTTGTACGAGGGCCTGAGCCGAGCCAGGGCTTGTGAGCAGCAGCTGGTGAAATGCAGGGAGAAGCCAGTGCACTTTGTTGCCTTGATCGGGCTGTGAACATGCGTCTCGCGCATGCTTGGGGCGGTCGGAGCCTTGTCAGCACAGCTCCTGTGCCCTGTGCGTTCTCTGTGTGGTTAAACGTGGGTGCAAACAGTGGCACCAAACATCAGCTCCTTATTGTCAGGCTGCTCTGGGGCCAAGGGCTCGCTCTGTAAGATTAGGCTCAGAAGAGCTGCAGCAGAGCAGAGCCGAGAGGCATTAGGGCATTAGTTCTGCTTCTGCAGAGCTCCAGAGTCTCCTGTTGGGAGGCATCAGTAGGGTGTTGGTCTGGTGGAGTGGACTTGTTTCTACTACCCTTCCCCTTTGCCTTCTTGTCTCCTCTGTTACTCAACAAGGAACCTTTTGGGCCAGGGCTCCTGCCACTCGCCGTGCAGGGCAGAGCCTGTTCCCAGCGCGCGGCGCTGCCTCCTGCCCGAGGCCCGTGTGGGACCCTCTGCCTTCCTGCACGTGCCGCTGTCTCCTCGGTGGAGGGTCCGGGATCTGTCTCCCTTCCCTCCACACTGTGCCATCAGTTTGGCTGGACACAGGGTTGGTACTGGAGTGGGATGTTTCCAGGGTGCAGCACTGCTGCTAAAATCCACCAGTGACCAGGGCTTTCCTCATCTGCTGGAAGCAGCTTTTTGGCCTAGGAGCCAGAATTCCTTGATGGCTTTCTGTGAAAATAGTCCTGAGATGGGGCAGCCTCTGTGCTCTGTCCCTGTGGACCCTCATGGTGTGCCCTTGTGTGGTGGGTGGTAATAAGAGCCTCGATGTGCTGACTTTTCCAAACTATTGTTTGGAGACTGTAACCCAAGTTGCTGTTTCCTCATTAGAGTAGCCTTTGTCAGAGCATCTTTAATCAAGGGGCTCCCAAGAGACAGCGTTTTTAGAACTTCTTTTTATACCTCCTCTTGGAAGTTCTTTGCGCTGCACCTTGTGAAGAAACTAATGAGATGCTGTGAGAGTTCGGGCTGGCGTTAATTAGGAGAGGTCTGAGGAAGAAGAACTGCACATATATTAACTTTATCTTGGCTCACATGTCTCCTCTCTCCCTCTGTCTCTTTGCAGGTTGCACAAACAGCAGATGGCTTGGATGCTGACCTCTGGAAAGATGGCTTATTTAAATCCAAGGTCACACGGTACCTGTGCTTCACCAGATCATTTTCAAAAGAAAATGTAAGTGTTTGCTGAGTGTCTGCATGATTTGCATCTGTGCCTGGTATGCTCTTACCATACAATGATTCATTTTATGGAGCCAATTATAATTCAAGCAGGAGTTTGGGTGAGTCAGGAGGCAAACTGCAGTGGCAGGATATTTGCATTTTGTCTGTGTTCCTCATGGAAAGAAATCGCTGACAAAATCTGCCCTAAAAGCAACAGAAAAGGGAACAACTCCAGCAGTCCCTCATGCTCGTGTTTCCTGCTGCAGTGCTGGCTGCTGCATGCTCGTGGTCCTGGTGAAATTCTAACCTCAATTACCTCCAGAGGCAAACACTGCAGGAAGTGTTGGTGAAGGCAACATTAGTTTCAGAATCCGGAGGCATCACTGATACTTCTGTGCAGGATTAGCTTTTCTTTCTTGTTTTTTGGTGCTGATTGTTGAAAATGTGCCCACGTTGTGCATATGCTGCCACATAATTGTAATCTAGTCTGGCTATTAAGTGTAAGTTTCTTTGTGGTTAGTGGCAGTTGTCTGCCCACACGTTGTGTGGAGGAGAGGGGACTGCAGCAAGAGCCTGATGCGTTCTGCTGTGGTTTTGGTTGAGGCTAGCTGAAAACTTTCTCTTTTGTGGAGGAGCTGTTGAATTCTGTAATGAATGCACTCCATCTAGTGGGTAATCCTGCCTTTGGCCGCAGTTTGGGTGTTGAGGCAACGCAGTTGTCAGGGTCTGGTGGTACCATTTTGTGCTCTGCTCTCACTGCGACAGGAACAGAAAAGCAGCAGCAGCTCACGGGCCCTGGCAGGAGAGCCAGGGACTGCCAGTTTCCAGCATTTGACCTTTATTCCATCCGCTTCCCTGACTGCCTCTAGATTAAAGTAAAGCTCCAGAGCTAGGGGAAATATCACTTCGGGGTAGGTGGACACTGACTGTGCTTTTCATCCTGGAGTAAGTGCAGGCGCAGGAATAGCAGCCCCGGAACAGTCAAGGAGGCTGAAAACACAAAGGTTTGCACTGATTTGAGCATTAGCATGAAATGTGAGACTGTCAGAAATACAGGACAGTAGCAGCTGCTTGCTGCAGAAACAGTGTAAATACCCTCAGCTAGTGCCTGTTGGGCTTTTGGCAGGAACAGGCTCAGCATGGTTTGGGAGTGCCTTCCTCCTATTGATGAGGTGTGGATTAAAGCAGGAGCTCCCCACACAGGATATGATTGTGCTGCCTCGCTGGGGACCTCTGAGGGTTAAAGAACCTTGGTCCCCTCAGCCAGGAGGAAGGGAGGTGGGAGGCTCCTCTCCCCTGGATGCTGGTGTGTGTTGCTGCACTTTGGGTTGGAAGTTTCACCATTCAGAGGTTTTTGTTTGTGTTTAGCAAAACGCTGGGAACTGCTTGTCCTGAAGAACACGTTATAGTTGGCACAATTAATGCACCTCAGGTTCCTGGTTAGGGCAGAGCCTGTCTGCAGTCTCCTCAGCAGCATCACCATTCTCAGCGGTTAACAGTGCTGAGGATTACGAGGACGTTGCTGTGTCTGAGTGTCGTGGTGGGGAGCCCTGCATGGTGTCTCACAAATGAGGGGCCTGTGTCCCTTTCTCTCCTGTGCGTGGGGCAGAGCGTCAGTGCTGACTCCCAGGGTTCCCACAGCTCACGAGCCCATCGGAGGCTCCTCTACCCATGTGCTGCCGCTGGAGGAGCGACCAGGGGCTCGCTGCTGTGACAGAGCCAGACACTTTGGATAAATAAAACATGAAAGATGGATCGGCAGCCACCACTTCATCTGCTGTTTGCTGTGCCAGGACCATGTTAGCAGACACGTGTAGGCTTGGCAGCATCCAGCACTGCTTGCTCCAAGATGCCTTGGCCATGGGGGGTCAGAGGCATGGGAGGACTGCCCAGCCTTGGCCTCTTCATGTGAGCACGGAACACGTGCCACGCTCGTGTCCAGTGGGACAGGACTGCAGGTGTGCTGGCCCTCCGTGTGAGGAGCTGGCCATAAAATGTAGAATCTCAGAAATAAACTCAGACCTGATCTCCCCTTACTTCAGAGCCTGCGAATGTAAATATGCAACCAGTAACAGTAAAACTCACTGACATGGTTTGATGGCTTGGGGTGAAATTTCAGTTGTTCTGTGTTGCATTTGTACATTTGTATTTATAAAGGCTGTGCAGTAACTAAAGTGTGTTCTTCCTCCATACGTGAACTCAGAGGATTGGCAGCAGTGCTGGCTTAACGAGAGCAGCAAAGAAAATCTGCTCTCCAAACCATTGTGGAGGCTGTCACTCTGAATTGTGCTCTGAGCTCTTCAAGCCTTGATTAATAGGACGAGGCATGAGTTCAGAATTCATATGGACTCCAAATGAAGTTCTTCATTCCAAATGGCCTGTGCTTCTGGAGTGCACTGCATTTGGAGCTAGAATCACGTCTATTCAGGGCTAATTAGCTAATGCATGTAATACCTTTGGCTGTGGCTGCACGAGCCATTGTCCTGACAGCTTTCTGCTGTTACTGTCACCCAAGTGTCATGTTGCTGTTGCAGATTTACAGTGTGTAGGAACTGAGGTGACCTGCACAGTGGATGGGTTGGTGGAGGTAATACTTTGAACTGCCATTTTGCCAAAGGAAGGAATTTGGTTGTGTCCAAGGATCTGGAAGTATGACAGTGGATAAGGTGTTAGAATCCATGAATGCTGAAAGTTGTCCTGTATCTCCTAGTCAAGACACTGTTTGGTTCTTGCACGGGGAACAGTTGCAAGGGTTAGATTGGTACCTTCTTACCATTTTTGAAGTTGGTAGTTGGATACAGTGACAAAGCATCTCAGGGTTCTGCAAGTAGGAAAACCTGGTTTTGAGTTTGGTGACATTGTCATAGTCAACTGTTCCTTTTCTCTCTCTAAAGAGTCATTTAGGCAACGTCTTGGTTGATATGAAGCTCATTGATATCAAGGACACTTTACCTGTGGGCTTCATCCCCATCCAGGAGACCATCGACACACGTGAGTTGACATCTGTTCCTCAGTCAGGCGGAGGAAAGCCATATCCCAGGCCTTGGAGGACTGTGTCCAAGGCAGAGGAACACTCCTGGCACTGCTGCTTTCTGCGTTGCCATGTGCATGTTCAGGTGCAGCTCTGGGCTTCAATGCAGCAGCCTTTGGTTTCCCTGTACTCCTCAGGCTGTTTAGGGGGCTGCCTGGCTGTCTCCACTTGCTTGCTAGAGCTCCACGGCTCTGGTGCAGGAAGGGAGAGTTTGTTTTTTTCATTTTGAGGGGTGGACTGGGCCTGGCAGGAGCAGAGCGGGGTTGACAAATGCACTGACAGGCAGAGGGTGTGCTGA